GTGGTGAAGAGGGTGGTGAGGGGATGTGAGAGTGGTGGAGAGGGTGGTGAGGGGATGTGAGAGTGGTGGAGAGGGTGGTGAAGGGATGTGAGAGTGGTGTAGAGGGTGGTGAGGGTGATGGGGGGTTGGTGGGAGAGGGGAGGGAGAAGAGTCACTGTTGAGAAGAGGATCGCGTGGAGCCAGCCGTGAGCTGGACCGGCCGTAAAACGTCTAGAAGACCCCGTCGTGGACCGTGGCTTCCACCAGCGAGTCCGGCCTCTCGATCCACGGAACTGACGCGTTCACAAAGTCCAGCTGACAGGCGGGGGGCGGGGCTTCCTCAGTGGGTCCCCCCTGCGGGAAGTAGCGGAGACCCCGCGCCGGATCCTGTGGGTCTGCCAGACCGAGGAACACGGCGTCCCGGGAGGACATGGTAGGACTCTCGGGGAAGTAGTTGAAGGGAGACAGGTAGAAGGACATCTCTCGCCCCACCGTGGCGCTGTTAGGGAGGTCCTCCAAGCTGGGGATCACGTGGTCGGACAGCGTGACCCACGCCACCAGGTCCTGGGGACATCACATCACGTGACAGTACATCTGTGTGGTACACTTACGTCACGTGACTGGACATTTGTGTGCTATATTTACGTCACGTGACTGTGCATCTGTGTGCTATAATTACGTCACGTGACTGTATACATGTGCACTACACATTTTCAAATGTGTGTATATTAGGTGTGTGTGGGGTTTTTGTGTGTGTGTGGGTCTGTGTGTGTGAGCGTATGTGTGTGAGTGTGTGTGTGTCTCTGTGTGAGTGTGCGTTACTGTGTTTGTGTGTATGTGTGTGTGTATGAGTGTGTATGAGTGTGTATGTGAGTGTATGTATGTGGGTGTATGTGTGTGTGAATGTATGAGTGTGTGTGTGTGTGTGTGTATGTTTCTGTGTGCATATGTGTATGGGTATAGGTGCCTGCGTGCGTGTGTATGTCTGTGTGCGTGTATGTGTGTGTGTATGTGTATGGTGCGTGTGTATGTGTATGGTGTGTATGTATGTGTATGTGTATGGTGTGTGTGTATGTGAATGGTGTGTGTATGTGTATGGTGTGTGTGTATGTGTATGGTGTGTGTATGTGTATGGTGTGTGTGTATGTGTATGGTGTGTGTATGTGTATGGTGTGTGTATGTGTATGGTGTGTGTGTATGTGTATGGTGTGTGT